TTATCTATTCAATTTGAAAGTACATATGGATTATGTATATTTTGTATAATATATATATCATCATATGTATGTATACACATCCCCTAGGGAATAGGGGAAGGTCATTGGTAGACTGAATTGTGCCAATATATCAACCTACCATTAATTTAGCTATCTGGGATTGAATTAAGGTGATCATCCCTAGTACTTTCTGCTTAGCAGGGAAAAAGGTGAATGAGCTGCTACAATTTTTTGGATTCAAGGTAAAGAATCCAATCAAAAATCACTGGGAAAGCTAAGCAATCATGACATCATCCCACTGAAAAGGAAACAGACAATAGAAATTCATAGGTGGTCCAGGTATGGGGCATTGGTTGACAAGGACTGCTGTGGTTTGGTTAATTTTTTTTTTTTTTTTGGTTTCAAGGAACACAGAATCTCTCAAGTAAGCTCAGGAAATAGGCTACTATGAGGACTCTTAGAATTGAGATTCAAATTCTCCCAGACTCTCTCTCATGAGCTACCCTTTATTTTTCTCCCAATGGTGCTTCTGCTCTATGTGTTTGCTCCAGTCTCTTTTTGTCTTTGTTACTGCACACAAGACCAATATAAAAAGATTTATTGGCCAGGCGTGGTGGCTCACGCCTGTAATCGTAGCACTCTGGGAGGCTGAGGCGGGCAGATTGTTTGAGCTCAGGAGTTCGAGACCAGCCTGAGCAAGAGCGAGACCTCATCTCTACAGAAGGAAATTAGCCAAACAACTAAAAATAGAAAAAATTAGCCAGGCACGGTGGCACGTGCCTGTAGTCCCAGCTACCCGGGAGGCTGAGGCAGGAGGATCGCTGAAGCCCAGGAGTTTGAGGTTGCTGTGAGCTAGGCTGATGCCACGGCACTCTAGCCCAGGCAAGCGTGTGAGACTGTTTAAAAAAAAAAGATGTATTTTATTTCTCTCTATAAAAAACGTACAGAAGATGAAACTCAAAATATATCATTTATGATAGCATAAATATCCTAAATACCTAGAAATGAATTTAAGAAAAGATATTCAAGACCTCTACATGGAAAACTATGAAACATTAAGAAAAATTAAAGAAGACTTAAATGGAAGGATATATAACATGAAAAATTCCATTTTGTGAGGATACCAATTCTCTACAAATTGATTTATAAATTCAGTGTAAACCCAATGTTCTAACAGTATTTTTTTTCATTCCCAAATATTTTATTATTATTATTTTAGAGACTAGGTCCCACTCTGTTGCCCAGGCTGGCATGCAGCGGTGTGATCATATCTCACTACAGCCTCATATTCCTGGACTCAAGCAATCCTCCCGCCTCAGCCTCCCATGTAGCTGGGACTACAAGTGTGCACCATCATGCCCAGATAATTTTTTTATTTTTTGTAGAGACAGGGTCTCACTCTGTTGCCCAGGCTGGTCTAGAACTCCTGGGCTCAAGTGATCCTCCTGCCTTGGCCTCCCAAAGTGCTGGGATTACAGGCGTGAGACACTGTGCCTGGCCCTGAAATTATTTTTAAATAGACTATTTTTTAGAGTCATTTTAGTTTCACAGGAAAATTAAGCTAAAGGTACAGAAATTTCCCATATACCCCTTGCTTACACACATGTATAGCCTGCCCTACCCACTAGAGTGGTACATTGGTTCAACTGATGAACCTACATTTATACATCATTATTCCCCAGAATCACAGTTTACATTAGGGTTTGTTTTTGATGTTATATGTTTTATGGGTTTGGACAAATGTACAATGACGTGTATCCACCATTACTGTAGAGTAGTTTCACTGTGCTAAGAATCCTCTGTGCTCCATATATTCATCCCCATCTCCAACCTAACCCCTGGTAATCACTGATCTTTTTATTGTCTCTGTAGTTTTGCCTTTTCCAGACTGTCATATAGGTGGAATCCTAAAGCATTTAGGTTTTTCAGATTGACTTCTTTCACTTAATAATATGCACTTAAGGTTTCTTCATGTCTTTTCATGGCTAGATAGCTCATTTATTTTTAGCACTGAATGATATTCCATTTTCTGGATGTACCACAGTTTATCCATTCATCTACTAAAGGATAACTTGGTTGCTTCCATTCGTAATTTGGCAATTATGAATAAAGCTATGATAAACATCCATGTGCAGGTTCTTAAACCTGCACATGGATATTTATAAGTTTTCAGCTCCTTTGGGTAATACTAAGCAGTTCAATTTCTGGATCATATACTAAGTATATATAGTTAGAAATACAGGGAGTATGTATAGTTCTGTTGGAAACCACCAAACTGTCTTTCAGAGTGGCTTTGCCATTTTGTATTTCCACCATCAGTGAATGAGAGTTCCTGTTGCTTCACATCCTCACCAGAATTTGGTATTGTCAGTGTTCTGGATTTTGGCCATTCTAATAAGTGTAGAGTGGTATCTCGTTGTTTTAATTCGCATTTCCCCAAGGACATATGATATGGAGCATATTTTCACATGCTTATTTGCCATTTGTATATCTTCTTTGGTGAGGTATCTGTTTAGTCTTATAATAATTTTTTTGTGTAAACTGACAACTAATTATGAAATGAAAATGGAAACGCAAAGGAGCAAGAACAGCCAAGGAAATTCTGGAAGGCAAAGCTGGAAGACTTAGAGCAATAGAAGTCAAGAACTTTTACAAATCTATAATAATTGAAATAGTGATACTGGTGGAAGAATAGCCAAATAAATCAATGGAACCAAATAAAGAAGCCAGAAACAAATCCCACTTACGATATGGCCACTTGATTTATGACAGGTAACACTGTAGTACAGAAGGGAAAGGATAAGCTTTTAAGTAAAATATGCTGGGTCATTCGGATGTCCAAGTGGTAAAAACATAAATTTTTAAAACCCTGCCTCATTAATGTACAAAAATCAATTCCAGGTGGATTAAAGATCTAAGTGTGAAAGGTAAAACAAAGATCTTAGAGAAAATTCAGGAAATCTCTTCATGACCTTGGAGTTTGGCAAGCTTTCTTAAACATAAAATATAATGAAACATAATTGAAAAAATGGGTAAACTGAAGTATATTAATTCTAAAAACATCTGTTCAATAGAAGACAATATTAAAAAGGCAAAAAAGGTAACCCAAAAGAGGGAGGAAACACTTGCAGTACATACATCCAATAAAAGATTTGTGTAAGGGCCAGGCTGGTCTTGGTCTGGTCCCCCAAGGACTCACGCATGCCATCTGGGTGTCTGGCAACGGGGAATTACTTAACCTAGGCCTCCACCGGCTGGCATCTGAATACTCTCCTGGGGTCTGAGGTCCAGCTGACCCAAATTGTCAACAGTACTATTATGGGTACTCACATGCATGAGCCAAAAGGTGGTGCACCTCTCCCTCAGTGACAACCTGTGGTGCGTTAATTATTTCATTATATACTATAACTTAACAGAAATAAAGTGCACAGTAATGTGATGTGTTTGAATCATCCCAAAACCATCACTCCCCACCCCTGGCCCTGAAAAAACTGTCTTCCATGAAAATGGTCCCTGGTGCCAAAAAGGTTAGGGGCCACTGCTCATTGAGATTCATCAGAAAGTTGAAAACCAACACAAAGAAACCAAAAGAATAATTCAGGACATGAATGAAAAATTCACTAAAGAGATAGATACTTTTAAAAACAATTAACAGAACTTCTAGAAATGAAAGAGACATTTAGAGAATTTCAAAATATGGTGGAAAGTTTTAACAACAGACTAGACCAAGCAGAAGAAAGAATTTCAGAGCTTGAAGACAAGGCCTTTGAATTAATTCAGTGAAAAATAAATACAAATCAAAGGAAATGGATATAGTCTTTGAAAAATATGGGATTATGTAAAATGCCTGAACATTAGAATCATAGGTATCCCTTAGGAAGAGGGAAAAGCAAAAGCATGGAAAACCTACTTGAGAGAATAATGAAGGAAAATTTCCCTAGTCTTGCTATAGATTTAGACATCCAGATATAAGAAGCTCAACAAACTCCTGGAAGATTCATTGAAAAAAGAACATCACCAAGGCTCATTGTCATCAGACTGGCCCAAGTCAACGTGAAGGAGAAAATACTATGAGCTGTAAGACAAAAGCCTCAAGTTAACTTTCAAAGGAAAACTCAGACTACCAGCAGGCTTCTGAACAGAAATCTTACAAGCCAGAAGGGATTGGTGTCCTATCTATCCTTAATCCTCTTAATAAGAATAACTGTCAGCCAAAAATTTTGTATCTTGCAAAGCTAAGTTTCATAAATGAAGGAGAA